ATGTAACTGTTGAAAATGGAAGATGCTGGAGGCTGGGAGTTCTGCTAGAGGGCTGTAATAATGTAAGTATAATTACGACTAATATGAGTTCTTACTGTGTGCCAAGAATAATGCTAAAAATTTCACAAACATTATTCAATTCTTCCAACAAATTCATAGAATTAATTATTATTGTCAAAACCCTTGTAAATGTGAGGAAATGCAAGCTTACAGAGTATAACTGGCTCAAGTTCACTCTGCTAGTAAATGGCAGAACAAAGATTAGAACCTGGATCTGTCCAACTTTTAAGCTTATGTTCTTAATCACTGTGTCGTACAGCTGCCCCAACAATATTGTAATTACCAAAAGTAAAGCAGTTGGAATGCTAATAACCCCTTATGTATGTATATAGCTGCACAGCTTATAAAATACTTTACGTACATTTAGTACTCGATCCTCATAATTACCTGTTGACACAGCAGGGGAGGCTGTTAACCTGGCTTTACAGAAAAAGGCGGACTTTGAGAGGTAAAATACCTCTACCAAGGTCATATGCCCAAAAGGTTATTGATAGAGCTAAAACAATAACTAACATCTTCAGCCTTCTTATTCACTGATCTTTTAGCATTCTAATAGCATACAACTGCATGAAGCAATTTTGTTTTCTGCCATATCCTTAGTGTCTAGAACAGTGCCTGACATATAATAAGAGCTCAATAAATATTTGCTTAATAAAGGAATGACTGTAAGATCCCATTGGTATTTAATAACTGCTATTTAATTATGCTGAACTAATATTGGCAAGTCCAACGTAATAATGACATGGCTATACTTCATCTATCTGGTTATGATTTAAATGGGCTGACTTTCTCGGCAATATGTCAGATATAAATTATGCTTAAGTACTTACTAGAAACAGCTGTGGGGGGAAAAGGCATAGTGAGAGGGGCCACGCAGGTGAATGGGGAGGAATGAGGAGGAATGGGGAAGTGGTCAGGGGATCAGTGCATAACTATACGTTAATATACCAACTGCAGAAAGGGTAACACTCATCATATGGTGGCAGTTATTGGAGGCCAATAGTCCAGAAAGAAAATATAAAATCCTCTTTATAATATAACTCATTGTGATGATGCAACTGAAGCGTCACATAGTTGACCCCTTTAGAGAAATATATTTATTATTTATTTAGATTTTAGATGCCTAATGTGATTTAATTATTTTTGAAAATAAAATGCAAATAATGGCACACTCAAATTTGATTTAAATATTATGATAAGGCTCTTAAAATTTAAGACTGTTAAGACAGTAGCAGGAATTGGGAGTCAGCCAGTGCACAGCACAAGTGGGGGATGCAATTGTTCAGAAGGCAGCATTTATAAAATTATTTATATTTTACACATGTTATCAGTCTTATTTATTTAAAAATACAATCAGTCTCCTAATTTTTCAGAATACAGTAAATTGTATGACACCAAATTATTTTCCTGACTTATTACTGATTCTGTTGAAGTATAAGTAAAATTTCTGTGGTTAGCACAATTTAAAAAATGAAAACTAGCTAATATTGTATAATATACTTAAAAACTGAGTTAAATATACTTAAATATCTGAATAAATAAAATAAATAGTTCACGTTTATTGAGCATTTACTTTGTGCCATGAGCTGTACTAAATGCTTTATATACATTACTTCCTTTACTCTTTATAAGTCTATAAAAGTTTGGTGGTAACCACCCCTGGTACAGATATGGAAGCTAATACTGAATAACACTCCTGTCTTTGGTCATATGGGTATGCTATTTTGTCTCTCTAGACCCCAGTCTCTTCTTCTATAAAGTGGAAATAATGATACTGTCTCTCAGAGGTCTGGATGTAAGTGAGACATGAGACAATGCATCTAAGATAGTGTTTGACATAGTA